AATTGCCCAACCCGCACGCCTCCGATCGACTGCCTGACTCCGGAGGACGATGACCTAATTGCTTCCGCTCAACAACAATCACCGCCGACATTACTTAGGAGTACTTTAGGAACTTGATGTGTTTATGTTGCTGATGTCTCTTTGGTTTGTATAGGTAGATTTAGTTTTTAGGTTACATCCATTAGATCAGATGAGTCCTTCCTCTCTTTAGCTTTTTATCTATGCAATCTGTATCTGATTACAGTAGGAAAGGAAATGTTGGACTCTGCACATTGGCATTCGCCAAAGTTGCAGGGATTTGCTTCCTCCACACTCTTGCATGCCTCTCCCCAGAGGCGCACACACACTTCTCGATCAAGCAAGTAGGGATGAACCTGAAGCTCTTCCCTAAGCTAATGGCATGTTCATCAAGAGCCAACAAAGTACCGCTTTGCTTAGGCCTACATTGGAGAGACCATCTGATTGAAGCATATCTAATAGTTTCTCGATCTTTCAGTCTCGTCTTAGATATGCACAAGAAAAAAGATGATTTCATTAAACAATGCGCAGCTGAATTATCCCAAGAATTGTCCTACGGACGGACACCTCAGAAATTAATGATAAGAAATGTGCAACTTGTTTGTTATATATGGCACAAGTGAAGCCTTTTCCAACACAGCCTATTATGTGCTCTGTAACCCTCCATTGCATGCCTGCATGTGTTCTTCGAGAGCATTCACCGCGAACTCACCATGGTCATCTTCATCGATTGGTGTCTCTAGATCTCTAGAACAATAACTGGAGACAAGGCAAGAATCAATCTTGACTCAGTTAGCTATTCAAAATGCAATGCGACATGCTAAAATTGAAGTGGCAACAGTAATTGAACTCACACTCTGAATCCGTCTTGACCCATTTACACTGAGCTTTCCTCTTCTCCTCCTCCTCCTCCGCTTCCCCTTCCTGCGATCTCCCAACTGGCTTGTTCTCCAAGTATTTCTGCGATGAAGATGGAGTGGAGCTTTGTTGGTGCATCTTCTTGGTGAGAATTGCCCTCAAAATCTATCATGAGACGGTGTGATGAAGTGTTTGGTGCGCAACAGAGGAGAGTTTGATGCGAGCAAGCATGCATACCTTCTCCATCCTTGATTCCGGCATGGGATCCCTAAAGCCGGGAGCTGGCGCGAAGCCGCCGCCACAGACGAACATCCTCTTGAGAAGAAAGGAGATGGACTTCTTCTTGATGGCGTTGCGGTTACCCAGCAGCACTTCCTTCACCTTGCTCAGTACGATCTTGGTGTTGGGCGAGAGGTCGCCATTGTTGTCGTTGTCCAGATACTCGAGCTTGGCGCTCGCGATCCTGTCGACCTCCAAGCTCGATGGGCAGTTCAGAAATCGATTCAGCGGCAGCTTGGCTCTGTCTTCTTCGCCGAACTCCGATCCAGCGGACTTGGTTTTCGACTTGAGTGACAGCAGCTTCTTCAGTTCTTTCTGCAGGTTGCTTACTTCGTCGATCGTGAAGTTGGATAAGTCTTCTGAGGGAGAATCCAAGGTTCGAGAATGCTCGTCTCGCCGTGGTTCCTCCTTCATCTCGCTGTTGCCGAGCGTCCCAATCGACAACAATGCCTGTGGCCAGTCGTTGAGTTCTTCTTTCTGAGAACTCGGCATGGAAGGATCTAAAGAACAGAGTAGAGATCAGCCGTCATGCAACAACAAAGACTGCAGAAGAAAAATCTCACTTACAGTGAGCTGAACTCGATCCAGCATCGAAGCTCTTCTTCTCCTGCCTCCCGTGGAACTTGTTCTGCACCCAGCCAAAGATCTAAACACGAGACACAAACGCTACTGAGGCACTGATGGCAAGCAAAGCAGGGAAAACTAGTTCAAGAGGTCCCAGTCCTTACTCCCATAGCTTCAACCAAAGATCCTTGGCGAGAACAAAGCGAAAGCCTCCCTCTCCTCTCCAAGATTGTTGAGAGTGTCCGTGGCCTGCCTACCTTAAATGGAGAACGAGAAAGAGCAGGTCCTCAGAACCATGGTCTTCAGCCAATGGGAAGTGTGGATGGTTAAATAGGCTGGGAGAGAAGTGCTACAGAATCCCCTGTCCAATCTTCACTAGTTTAATGGCATTACTTATGGTTCAAGTCCCCATACACAGAGAGAGAGAGAGAGAGAGAGAGAGAGAGAGAAATTCCCCTGAAGCCTTTTTGTTTTCTGCCTTTTTGGTTGATGCACCCATCGACGGGAACAATGATCTTGAGCATGTAATCCTGAGGTTGCTGCAGATGAGCCCTGGAAGTTGCCGACTTCAGATTGAGTAGTAGAAACAAGAGGAAGGTTTGGGGATCCAAGTAACATTCCCAGCCACTTTAGCTCTCATGTTCTCTCTCCTTGGACCAACCAGGGAGAAGAATGTGCAGGTAAACCTCATCTCATTGGTTTCAGTACACGGGCACTTCTCGACACCCACCGCCTGCCCTGGAAACCACAACCCCTGCTTGAATCAGACCACCATGGGCACATGAGGGTGGAGATCATTGCCAGACAGGGGCTTCAAAGGATAATGCTTGGACATGACTGCTTGTTTCCTTGGGTTGCATCAAAGTTTTAAACCCCAGGTTTCTAGCTCTTGATATATACAATGCCCACAAGCTTAGGATCTTAGGAATTACCAAGGAAGATCGTGGATGGCACATCATCGTTATCATATCTGAATCGGATGTATATATTTGTCATGTATTTTGATGCCAAACCCAGTAATACTTGCAGCAATGGGTTAATCCAGGATGAGCTATGAAAGGTAGCATGTACGAGAGCTGGGACAGTAGCAGAGTTTGGATGCGTCTGGGTTGTCTGTGCTTTGCTTTTAAGCTGTAGACAGGGCTGTACAGCATTAACATGTAGACAAACAGGTAGTGTGGCCTACATTCCACTTGGTTAGGATCAAAGCTGCACAGAAGTTGCAGTTCTATCCTGCGCTAGTGGCCCAGGGAGCTTCCAATCCTTATCAACTTCTCTGCAAGTGGCACTCGATGTTTATGATTCTCACTTCCCTACTGTGTAGCCTCAAGTCTATTGAGCTTTTTTATATATGTATCCGTAGCAATAATTGTACTCGTCATCACTGGGAAATGATGATCTCAATGCCCTCGTGAGGTATGTCCCGGTGGCATGGCAGGGTCGTGCATTATATCTATGCATCCATCAGGGCCCCGAGCCTGTCGATGGATTCGCATATGATCTATTCATTTGTATCTTTCTTGCACAGACATAGCAAGAGTCCTATGTTGATAGGAAAGGAGATCTCAGTGCAACACAGAGAGAGAGAGAGAGAGAGAGAGCATGGCATGGCATGGGTATTGATGTGTGTGTGTGTTCCTTACCCACCGTACCGGCTGATTCATCTCTCTCTCTCTCTCTCGTGCTCATCAGTAACCAGTGACGATCTCCAAGTCTCCCCATGGTCGGAAGCCCATACTGCAGCAGCACAGCAGCATCGATAACAAGTTTAATCTGAGATTGGCTACACAAATATTTCCTTGATATCGAGTTGCAGGATTCAATCTAAGAGAGACAACATCTGCGGTCTTTTCCTATGATTAATGGATCCCCATAAATGGAGATACCTGCGGATTTAACAAAGGCCTGCAAACAGCTTCCTTTTTGAGAACCCCGAGATTAGGCTTTGCATACCACCCATTGCCTCTATAATAATGAGATGAGTAGATGATGGTTAATCTGCACCCAGCACTCCGACAATGATGCCATAAAACTATCACAAACTACATCGCTCTTGATGAGTCCACGTCTGTGCACACAGCTCAGGTGTTTATATTAAGCCAACACAGGAGACGGCACAGGCCAGAAAAGGTTTGACTTTAAGACGAATGCTTAGCGAAGAGGTTAACGCTAACAAGATGCTTATTCTGACACGATCGCCATGTTTTGACCACATAGAGGTGCCTAATGCACTGCAGTCCGGAAAAGAAGCATGAGATGAGTCCAATGATGGCATTCCGTGCCATCTCAGGAGCCACAAACTAGAAGTTTGAACAGTGCAGCAAAACCCAGAACCAAAAGTCGTAAGAGAGAGGTATACTTGTACAGACAACATCAGCATTATGAGGATTGTGAAGATGACATCCGACTCCATCTTAAGCATTGCACCCCCGTAAACACGTAAGAGATTACGTCGATGATTAGGGTATAAACTACTACGAGACCAATAGTATAATGTTCTAACTCCATCGATCGCTGCGGTCAACCGATCGACACATTTGCAGCATCACTTTTGAGCAAAGAAATCTCGCAGAATGTTGTTGAGATGTTCATAGCGAGCGACCCTTGGTTATTTATTTATATGGAAGATAATGAAGATCCGCTAGGAGGACTTGCAGCAGCTATCTGATGAACCATACCACCTTTCTACAACTCTAAAGAGGAAGCTTCATTAAAGAAAGAGAGGCATGAGAGTGTTGAGGGAAGCAACCGTACCTTTTCTGGGTGCAAGAGATTACAAACAGCTCTCCCATGTGGTCCACTAGAAGACTTGCACTACAGTGAGGGTTTCTCATCTCCCTCGAGATGCATGTTAAATGCAAAAGAGAGGGCATGTAGAATTAAATCAGTCCGAGGGAAGGTACGGCAAAGAAGCCATGTGAGCTCCTTCAAAGCTGCTCTTAGTGGGTGTTAGGGTTCCAATGCTTCCAGAGTGCACGAGATACTTCCCTAAATGGAAAGATCGCGACTCGGGCTGGATATGAGTCTACATTGACGACTTCATACTCCACAAACATACTTTCCACCACAGGGTTGCAAATAAAAGTGAAACGATGCCATCAAAGCATTTGAAGAAGGAAACAATTTGTTTTCACGTTGGCTTGTCTGATTTCTTTTGTAGTGTAGTTTGCATGTTTTATCAGTTTTTGATTTGGGCAAAATTTGAGTCAATCAATCCAGATTGACTAAAAACATGACTTCAACAGCCAATCCAGATTGAGTCAAACTTAGAGAGCCATGAATACAAGGCACTGTACAACTCACTGGCAACACAAAGCGAACGATTCGCATAATTAATGTACAAGAGTGAGACGAGAGAGGAATCTAACTAATTGGAGCACTCGGTGCAGCACTCTGAGCAGGCAAGGCATGATAGAGCTGTGCAGAGCTGTGCCATTGCAATCACTAACTGATCATTCAGCTTAGAACAAGTCTTTATGCAGCATGGGCAACAGCAGCAGCAGGCTATCCTGTTGCAGCAGCCAACAGCCTTGTGGTAGATTTCAAAGGTCTCGTGTTCCTTAGCCTCTGCAAACCCCGTAGGGCGATTTTCCTTGGTTGCAATTACATTTCCAAATCCGTTAACCATGCTGCGCACTGAAATCGACAAGTTATCATCTGGACCAGAATGCTTTCGAGATTCTCTTTTCTTAACCTGTCGAGTTTTGCAAAATTCATCAGATGGCTTCACAGTTATGGTGCTGAGACACAATGCATAGTTTCAGGTTGGTCTTTGGTAATGCAAACAAAACAGTATGCTGATTGCAGACTACATTCCTGTTGCAGTGGGTTTATGTAGAACATAAATAAAGAAGAATTAGCAAACAGATATATCATTGCATATCGTACAAAATGTTGTAATCAGAAATCTAAGAAGTGATGATGTTGAAACTAGTAAAGTAACTGGGTTAACAATAACAGAGATTTCTTACCCAAGATCTTCGCTACTGTTAATGCAACAACCTAGGACTGGGAGATTTGCTGAGAGGATGTCAATTAAGATGAGAAATGAGGCAATTTACTTAACACGATCATAATATCTTAAATTAATGAATCCGACTCTTAAGACTTTTCTCCTTTTCTGAAAGACTGAAACTATTCAGCATATGGAAAATACAGAAAAATATGTTCTTATGATAGCAATGCAGCTATTTGCTACAAAAAATCATGCATATTTAACTAAAGCATAATGACCGTAAACATCAGCATAGAATTTTTCTTTACAAGTTGAAACCATCCACATGCTTATTCAGCTTACTGAAGGAGCACAAGAAGTCATCACTATTTTAAGTACATTTCAACTAAAGAATTTGTTGAAGCTTCAAATATTGTGTGTCCTACGCTAGTTGATGTGTGACAAAATTACTCCGAGATTTTAATCATTAAATCACCTTTCTATTAGCAGATCAGGTGATTTGTTATTCTGGTAAAAACAAACTCTGTATTTGTAATAGATAGGCACATGTTACAGACTTTGAATAACCATATGCCATGGGGTAGAATGCAATAGCACATCCTCCATACCTTTTTTACGGCCTCCTGTTTCTCTGTTTCAGTTTGAAGTAAGACCATACATGTATACTCCGACGGGATGCTACTCTGTATGCTCAATTTAATCACCTACAGATTGAAGGAGGAAATATAAACAAGTATAAGATCTAGCAATAATAATTTTTTCATCCAACTATTGCTGAATATTTAGATATTGTGGCAAATTTGTTCTACAAGCAGACATGAACCCAAAAATTTTGCAGCCAATTAAAGAAAAAATATGTTTGGACATTTTGAAAAAAAAAGATATTCTTGCATTAATTTTTCAGAAAAACTGAAAATTCATAATATAGATGTCCTTCAAAGTATGATAACAACAAACCTTCTCCTCAAGTTGTTTGCTCTCAGAAAACCATGCCTGAGATGTAAGAAGATCAATATGCTGCTTAGCCAAAGCCTGTAGAAAAATGTGATTTTAGAAATGAAAAACATTTTAAATTCACTATTTGTTGTCAGTGGCATGCATAACTCAGCTAATCGCCATGTGAATAAAAGGGCAAATACACAAGCATATAAATAAACAAACAAGCCTTGTAACATAAGAATCTGTCCTAAGCTTTCTATTTTCTTAATAATATTGACGATGATGATGATGGTTTTGTCATGGATACCAAGTCAGTGCTCAAAATTATGAAAGAATCTGTCTGGAGCTTTCTATTTTCTTAATAATATTGATAATGATGATGGTTTTGCCATGGATACCAAGTCAGTGCTCCTCAAAATTATGAAAGGTCAAAGGGCATGTAAGAATATAGATCAGAGCACAATCTGGATATCACATTAGTCATCAGAGTTCTCTAACTATTTTTGAAAAAAAAAGAGAGAGAGAATAATGACTCATAACACTAATAGCATAGGTAAATTTACAAATTCGACGTAGAAAATAGTTGCAGTGCTTTATACTCATGTTTTTCTCTAACTTCAAAGAATAAAACATGTTCCAGCTAGTTTTCATTCTAAAACATAAAACCAGTGCTTACAACTGGGTGTGTATTGCAATATATATATTTTTAAACTTAAAATGTAAGCTCTGATAGATAACAAAATCAACAAAAATAAGTTAATAGTTGGCAGCAACTATGTCACAATGTCACAATCTTAAAAGAGATGCATCTTCTTCCAAAATCCGCATGAAAGCAAAAAGATGCTGGTCAAAACCTTTCAAAACTTCCTAAAATGTCGACCATGGAGAAACAGTATACAAGGTCTCTAAGTCTTTAATATGAACATCTGACTTCAAATCGACAAGAATCATGATAAATATGACCCAGCCCTTCCTTTCAAGATACCCTGGCACATAAATGGGAATGTGCTAGCAGCCTAGCACAGTATGGTTAAGTGTTATAACACGTCAGCTGAGCACTAGTAGGGGCCCAGAACAATATGATAATCCTAGAGTTTGTTTTTTTTATAAAATAATCTGTATATTTTCATTTTCTAATATGACAACTCATGGTAAAATTCCACGATTTCATGCACAAAATAATATATCAAGAACCTCTTGCTCCCTCACTGCTCTAGAAGTGGGCCAGCATGGCAACTTGCATGTATTGTTGGGTTCTGCCGGCATGGGCATCATGTGGTAGCACTCCAACCAGGAGCCAACTAAGTATACAGCAGCAGGAAATTCAAGGAGTCATGTACGCCATACTTAATCTTTGGTAATAAAACATATATTAGATACAAATATGCCGTAAATGTTAATATAACAAAAAATTAAAGGCAATGGATTGCAAAATATAGGCATCTTACTTTCTCAAGAGATAAATCTTTTGTGTCTTGCACCTTCAAGTCAATATCAGCATAACTCATGTCAGCCAAGATTCCCTTAGCTTTAAGGGTCTCTGGAAACTTGCCATAACATCTACCTGATATAATCAATGGACTTTCAGCAGAAAGATCTGGAATATGGATAGGATATACCTGAAAGGAAAGCAAGCAAGTTTTAAGGTGATTTTATCAGAGAAATATAGCACAAGAAAAGAATGGAAGTGAATCATAAAATCGATTGATAATGAAATAAAACCTAGCTGAATTTTATAAAGCAAAAACTTAATATCATCCAAATCATGCAAATTTTTATTGAGGTTATCAAATGCAATTTAAGCCAAAAACCTCAGTCAATTGATCTTTTTACTACATAGATTGCAACACAGTTTTTTCAGTAGATCGTTATATTAAAGAGGACCGACATGAAGCAGTTCTATCAAAAGTTATTAAATGAACTAAGGAAAAATCTTGTGAATTAAGGTCAGTAAATGGAGGGGGGTTATGGTGGGCATTGCAGATAACCGTCACTGGATGATATTACAGTTGGCATAGCTCATATTTCTACTCTGTTACAATCTAAGTTCTAATCTTTTCATGCCTAGAACCATCTCTCATTACGACAGACCGTCAATAAAATAGTTAGTAATAAGTAATAACAATCTTTCCAGGTAATGGGCCTTTGTAACACGGATGAACCCTGAATACTAATTTAGATTTTGGAAGAGTAGAGAAAAGATATAATATGGACATCCTCACACTACAAAACCAGAAAGGCAACCTCTTAAGTTCTGAAGCAGCATTCGTCATATGAAATGGTAGGCAACAGCCATAAGATATCACCTCCGTATGCACGCATGATTATAAGAGAAGATATGGCCTAGAAGAGCATGAAAGAGTCACAAAGGGGCAGTGCATTTTTGTTTTGAAAAATATGGTAGGGCATTTGGGCATTGTATTGCACTCCAGTTACCAGTTAGGATTCACAAATTCGAAAACATACCTCAAATTCATCAATATCACTGAAGAAGTCAACAGTGATATTTGCAAGTATGGTGGACGAAGCTCTACGAAACCATCTTAGCATATGCTTTCCGATCGCATCTAGATAGAAATATAATGTGCAATTAGCTCGACAGGCTCAAATTGGAGACTGTTAGGACTCATGTCATCAGAGAAATTTAACTAAATATACAACAATGATGCCCCTAGATAGCTAAATCCTGATGTCCTAACACATTACTTTTATATATGGATGAGACTAACACATTACTATTATTAACAATTGAAGTAGAGACTAATTGTTCTAAGTTAAATTATGTCCTGTGATTTCAATGTAATTTAGACCTACCTTATATACAGATATGAAAGCAAAAAAAAATTCTAATTTATAGCATGTTTCCAGACAATTACTAGAAGAACTCCAAAATTTAATATAAACTTGATCCCACTATTAGGCCTAAAGAAGAGAGCTGCATGAGAGATGTAATTTCGAGTGGCCACTTCCATAAACTGAAAAATGCAACCTACCTGAATCATATGCAGCATCATACTGCCCCTTTCCTATTGATGCCAACATTTTCAAGAAGTAATGGTTGCAATAAGTACCTAACAAAGGTTTCCATTGTAAGAAAACAAGAAAACCTACATTAGTACAGAGCAATGACCTTAATAATTTTCATAAATTGATGATTATAACAAATAAAATGGACAATTATACAATACATGGTATTGGTTTACAGTGAACAAGAAGTTAACCAAGGCTTAAAAAGCATGGGCCTCAAGAGTGCAGCGGGGCAAAATAGCATAGAAATCATGATCTATCGTTCACTACATTATTAAATTATCAAAAAAGTAACGATTGCACTATGATCATTTGCAAATTTCAAGAACATATGAACCATCTTGTAAAATATTCGAATTTCAAGTATAACGAAATCATTTTCTGGCTGCAGTTTAGTATTCCGAATAACAATCTTCCAATGATCACTTCTTAATATATGTTTGCAAGAAATAGACTTCACAAAACAAACAATGGTTATGGCAATGAAAGTAATCATCAAGAAGAAAAGAGCAAATTTGTTTGTCAACCATTTCAATTGCACCGAAAGTACATAAAAAGCGAATTGTCAACCAATTGAAATAGAGCAAGCCAATCTGAGAAATACTTAACCACCATCTGTGATTTAGTAATTTTGATGATACAAATCCACCAGGTAATAGCAATTGAAAATTCCATAGAAACAACTTATAAAGGAGAGCATTCATGTCCACTAGAATGGACCATTACCTATACCAAAAGTTGAAATTCTAGGAGCAATGGAGTCCCTATTTGCCAGATGTGTTCTAACAGTATGACATATGTTGCGCTCGTCTTCAACAGCTCCATCAGTTACAAGAAAAATGTGAGGAATTGAATTTTTCATACTTGATAGTAAACATATTGCCTATGAGAAATTGAGAATAGGATTAGAAAAAAAAACAATCAATATGCAGAAACTCATCCTGCTGCTGTAAACATGAATTTGAAATACAACCACCACATAGTAATACATAGAAACTTATAAGAAGAAGTTACCTCATTTAAGGGGAGCATAATGTCTGTCCCACCCTCAGCAACAAAAAATTTGTTCATCCAATTAATAGCATTTTCTACCACGTCCTCAGTTGCAGGCTCCATACAGGATGAGAATGAGTGCAACTCATCATTAAAAGCTATTATATCAAAGTAGTCTCCTGGTCTAAGCTCCAACAGTGATGTTGATAATGCACTCTTAACATTCTCGATAGGCTTCCCTTGCATGCTTCCACTTATGTCAACGACAAAGACAACTTCATTTTTGAAAACCTATGGCATTAAACCAGATGAATACAGCTAGAGATTTTACACACTGAATTGAATTATTTTCATAAAATAAGGGAAAACTTGGTTGAAATATTTACATGTATCTTAAATTTTGAAATATATTCTACCATGTACTAGCAACACATACTATCTACGGAGAACATATCAAGAGAAAATCAATGAGTCTTAGATGGACCTCTCATTTGGGTCAAGTTTGGTACAATGGAAGCTTGATGTCTATACACAAGTATCACAGACAATGATAAATGAGATGTCATTTATGGACAATAGGCAAGAGGGTTATAATCCAACATACCTGGCGACAGAGTTGGTTGGTCACAGTCACTATCTATTACCCTGTTCTATAGACTTGCACTGTAATTAGTTGATCAGAAGTTCTCTAAATCAAGATTTTGATACTTGACAACAAAAAAAAGATCATAATGACAATGCCAGCAGGAAAACAAGAATTTTCTTTTAAAGTTCTAGTCCAATCTAAACTGCAAGACAATAACAATTTTCAATGGAAAACCTTAAATACAATTGTTTCTCATGTCTTTTTTTTACTTCAACATAGCTAAAATACACAATGTATATTAAATGTTTTTATACAAATTGCAAAATAAATATGTTGAGTTCAATCTTTTACTGTTGCTCATTGAATAAAGTGACATGTTAGGCTGCCAAGCATACGGGGCAAGGAGCTTTTGCTTTAGTTGAGAATAAGAGTGTTGGCAAGTTGTGCAGAGAGAACTACCTTTCTTTTCTGGTTACTTCCTGGAAAAAGATAAAGGCTGAACATATCTCTTTCATCACCATCATTTGTTGTTGCAGATTTTAAGAGTATGCCACCAAACAAATTATTTGAATAAATCTGTAGAAGATAGAAATGGCAAGAAATGTAAGATTCATAACAAAAACACAACAAAATTGAAAAATGTTCTTCTCCTACCCATCAAGTTAAATGGGCAAACAGCAAATAACAGCTACACATCAATGTAGTACTCTCTCAGCAAACTCATTTCCGTGAAGCTAGGTCCATCCTTCTAATGCTATATATTCTGAAGAACCAAATGAACAATTGAGCATACTTCTCTTTTCTTACCTAACAAGTTCAATGGGCAAACAGCAAATAACAACTACAAATCAATGTAGTACTCTCTCAGGTAAATCCATACGTGTGAAGCTAAGTCTATCCTTCTATCTGAATAATTACATGTATCATTAAGCATAGTTCTCAAGAAGAGTTAGCTTAGCATTGTGCACACTTGTTATACTACATTATTACCTCTAGCCTCTACAAGTCACTTGCTTTATTAATTTTCTTTACACTAATCATATTTAGATGCAGTTTAAACATTTTAGTTCATCCACTAATTTGGTTAAGCAATTAACTGGCACTATTATTTACTTGGTTGTCTGCTCAATGGTCCAAGTCTATATCGTAGTATCATTTACTTTAGACCCCAAATTCTCCAAACAAAAAAGGAAAAGTTTTGAATGGTAAAACTACAATATATGGAGTAAGCAACAAATTGCACCAACACAAGGAATGTAGTGTGTCACTAAAGAAATTGACAAATGAATATAAAATAAAAAAAGACAGGTTCAGGTGACAATAACACAGATCTTATTAATTAGTATCCTAAGCTAAATCTAGAAAACATAAGCCTTACAACCAAGTATAATTGCATTCCAACTTTTAATTGGCACGTTATCCTGCTCTTTGTGCTCCTTTTTAGTAAAAAAATCATAACTCAAGGAACTCATGGGAGCAGTGACTTGTCTCTCGATTTTCAGCTTGATATAATAAGTTAGAAGACAGCATACAGCTTGAAAGACAAAAGTTCAAAGTTCTATGAAATGAAACACACTAGAAATCTGGAACTTACACTAAATGAAAAATCAAAATCTTTATTTGACCAACTTTCAACATCAGCTTCACACAAAAAAGTCAACTTCCCTGCTTGGCGATTTTTTTCCTGGAAAGAGAATAAGGATATAAAATTAACTGATCTGATCATTTTCATGTGCTATACATAAAAACTAATATACCACATATTATCACCTTCAGAGGATGGCTTGTTGTGTGTAACATTATCTCCTTTCCAGTACCAGGATTCACATTTAAGTAAATCTTTTCCTTCTTTAAGAAAATCTTTGCAAATGGAGTGATATATTTTGGAAAATTGAAAGGTACAGTAACAAAGAACTGGCCATCCTTATAAATTAACTTCTGAGACCATCTAATTCTGATGGAAATGTCCGCTCCACCATTGACCTTGAAAAAAAGAAGATAAATCAAATGGTGACAACATGTGACATTGACTATAACATTTAGAAAGAGAGCATGATATCAGTTACGGACCACGAAACATAGCTAAATCACCTGGGGAATTGTTAAGAAAAACATTTGGGGCTTTAGGAAGCCACCACCTTCACTTTTAGCTGTGTTCTCCATGTTGTGATCTTCTAGTTCAATCACCTGGGTATAGTATGATCTTCCACCAACCTCAACCTCAACACCTAGAATTGAACCCTGTTAGCCAAACCATACTTAGGTTGAGAAGAAAGCAAATACTAAGAAAGGAGTTTGCAGGGAAAAAAAGCCATTGACTAGAAGAAGGCATGAATTTCACATGGATCTTGTCAACATTTCATATAAGACTATTCGGAGTAGCAATATACTTATATATGATCCATCATTTAATCACTACAAGAAAGAACATTGTCATCATTTAATCAATTCATTGCTGATGATATTGTATTTCCCATGGTACGTGTTACGGTATAGAAACCTATGCAGAGGAATCTCCCAATAATGACAAAAATAAACTTAAGATTACCTTGGCTAACCCATTGGTTTCTGTCCTTTTCTGCCAAATCCCAATATGTGTGATCTATTAAGTCCCATAAGATATCTTAAATCACCTATCACATAGCTATTACTTTGAGATCAAACAATTCAAAAAGTCAAACATCTGACAATAACTATGATAACCTTTAGCACTCCTAAACTGCACTTCATTTATGAAAGTAAAATCGAATTTGAACAGCTTTATAAGTCAGCTCTGGGCTAAGTTTGGCACTTGAAAAAGATTTGCCAGAAACCATTTTTCTAGGAGAATTCAAATACGACCACACAAAACATTTGTTAAGAAATAGTTCAACTTGTTGTTTTTCTCAGAGCTTACGTTACCATTCCCAATATTACCAAAGGCATAATCATCAGCTTTCCTGTCAATTCATTGTATTTCTGGTATTATTTTGCACATTCATGAAGTAGCAGGCGTAAAATTTTCAAGCCTAATTCTCACCAGCCCATCGCCCTAGCTGACAATGTAATAGCACCTAATACAACACACCAGGAATCATGAAACGCTATTCCTGCCCGTGAGGCAGCTTTTGGAGTTTCAAGGCTTTAATTAAACTGCATATCAAGATAATTTTCATCAACCAAGCTGTTACTCGAAAGAATTTATATTTCTGGTCTATATTGTCAAGAAACTCGAACAAAACTGAATGAGATCGCGGTTTTGGAGAGCAATTGTATAACATAGCATTTACAACTCATCATTCACAAAATAATTTCTCTCTTCCTAATATGACTTTCAACAAAGACATACCGCGGTTTTGGAATCATAGATTAGAAAAAGGAATCACTGGCTAAGTCAAGGTAAACCAAAATTTCTCACCTGCTCGCCAACAGGAACCACCAGCCGGCAGTCGCAGCTCTTGTGCCGCATCACGCAGTGGACCTTCCACCGGCCGCGGACGGCGACGAAGGCCGTGCCCAGGAGGCAGTCCACCTCCAGTCCGATCTCCCCCATTTGGAGCGGGATCAGCGCCGGCGGGTTGCACCGCCCGTGCACATGCGGCTGGTAGCTGGGTATGTCCGGGTTGTCGACGATCGCCGGGTCGGAGATCACGGCGTACACCATCGGCGCCCCAGGAAGGAGCGACTCCGGCGTCCGCTCCATCTTCGCAGCCGGAAGCGGTGGCGCGGCTAACTGCCGGTCCTTCCCGGCGTAGACTCGCTTCGCCAGCTTCAGCCCCTCCTCGACGGCCTTCGCGAACTCCTCGTCCTCGGCCATGTCCGCCCGATCTCGATCCAAAGGTCCAGATCCCACGAAGATGTCACCTCGAAGCCTCCACCGCAGAGAGAGAGAGAGAGAGAGAGAGGGGTCACCTCGAAGCCTCCGAAACAGAGAGAACAGGAGAATGAAGCGACGCAGAAGGGGTGGAAAAGAACGGGAATCGCTTCCGACACGACACGACGTTAAAGATTAATTACTAATTATTTAATTTTATTTATTAGATGGTATAATAAATCCAGGTATCGGTAAGAAACTTTGACCGCAGAGCGGCGGGACGGGAATCGAGCTATAATTGCCGCGCTCCAACGCGGAAAACGAGGTAAGCGGTAAGTAAACATTCAGTGACCGTACTCGGCCATTAACGTTTCGCTTTCTAAGAATAATTTTCTGGGTTACGCGCGACTTACTCGCGTTGGCGAGCGGTGAAGCTATTGAGCAGCTGGGTCCCACGCGTGAGATATGTCACGATGGTCCTCCAACGTTCGGGAACGAGGAGACACGGAAGTGGACGGGAAACGACGGATGCGTTAGGACCGAAGAAGGAGGCGCGTGGGGATATAACAAGTGAAGAAAGGGCACGTGTCGCGCTCCAAGGAACACACAGTCTGGCTTTTGTTAAAATGACTGATTTGCCCTTACCGGTATTGATGATGCCGTAGTAATCGATAGGAAATCGGTTCATTAATTGATCTGATCCATTTATTGGATCGGCTATATTAAAAAAGGAAATGAATTGATTGAGTCGATCTATTTTTGGATAATTTACATAACTTGATGGTGTCAAATAAAATTGATTTAGTTTTATAATGTACTTAAGATTATTAAAGTATATTATTTTTATTATTTATTTTAAAGGATATTAATGTTAATTTTAAATTAAAGTTAATATGAAAAAAACGATATTTCTCATCCTTTCATTTCATCTATTCATCTATATTTTTTGTCGATTCATTTTTCCCTTTTCTCTTTTGTGCCTTCTTTTCATCTCATTTTTTTTTAAATTATTTCTCTATTCTACATATTATATTGGTTTGTATTTTTTCGATAATCAACTGTTGTTCCTTTAGTCATATTTATTCTGAAGATTTTTTTTTAATATCATCGTTTCTCATACTTAATTATTTTTACATAAATTCCATTTGAATTACATGATACATGTAATTTATAACTAGGTAAAGTTTCTTAAAAACCCCTCGAGCTTTCACTTTTTCGTGTTTCTTTTGAAAGGTTTTGTTTATTTTTTAAGGTGAGATTATCTCTCAAGTTCTTATGTCAAACCTAAATTTTAGGATATATTACATGGTTTTTCTTATGGTCATGGAAGATATGATCTTCTCGTCGTCGATAATATAATCCTGATTCTTTTTTAGAGTTGGTGTGATGACATTGAGTAGAAGACAAATATATTAGGGGTAGGCAATAGAATGGGGAGTGGTGGGGGCAAGATGACACCAGAGATGAGGAAGTTATCCTCCTCATCGTGAGAGGAGATGATTAGATAGGCGAAAACAATGTCGAAGAAGCTAAGAAGATAGATGAAGTTGATAAAGTCAATGGTAAAGATTTGGGATAAACCAAAGTAGAATGATATGAATAAATATTTCTTCTCTCATATCGAAAAAAGTAAGACACCGTATATTTAGACCCGAGCAATAAAGGCCATGAATAGGTGATGAACATTAGGGTGAAGGGCTGAGGTCGAAGGTAATAGAGAGCCACTGGTGAAATCGCTAGAGAACCTCTACGCTAGGATAAGGGTAAGAATTTACCCTTATATCTATAACAATATATTTGTTTAAATAATTAAATTATATATTCACTTTTAAACTTCTTTATAATGATAACGGATGTTATTATTTTTATCATAACGACTGAAGTTTCTTTTATTTATCAAAATTTATTTTATTTTTATTAATTTTGATATTATAGATATTTATTATATATTTATTATAATACTTTTTTAATCAATCATACGATCCAACGAGTGACGGGTCATTCTCCGATTCAAGTTTCCTAACCATGGGTCACGGTGCCAAACGACGAGGGTAGATTCGTCATGGAAACGATCGAGCCGTTGGCGCGGCCGGTATAGTTTGAACGTTGCATGGGTTTCAGTTTTGAATCGGAAACTTGTGACCGTTGCCTACCTGAGCGACGCGCAAGAAAGTGCGGGCCAACATTGCACCCTCTCACATAGCGTGGTGGGACCCGCGACATCTTCTGCTTTCCTGTCGTAGAATGGACAAGCGGGCTCCCATGCGTGTTAACGGCAGGCGCTGCACTTCTTTGGGATCTGTTGTTCTGGTTCATCACGCCCCACCGGAACACGTGAGTTAATCATGCGTGATTTCAAGTTAAAGCCGGACGCCATTTTTATATTCGATTATTATAATATCATTTAAAAAATAATATTTTAAAAAATATAGAACAATATCAAATTAAATGGTTTAGAACCACAGTTGAACTACATGGACAATTTCTAAAATAATCGTTGTTATGTACACTTTCAATAGTTCCTTGAAAAATATAAGTCAGTGGGTCTGCACCTTTCTCAGCATTGTGGTCTTTTTTTTAATCTACAATAATTTCCCTTAAATTAATTGATATATAATTTATTTATTATTTCCTCGACGAGCATCCTCACATGCTTTAAATTATATATATATATAAGACATTAATTAATGATAATTGTCCAATGACTCATAAAAAATCAAGAGCAAGTTTTCGAAAATAAAATATATAACTTTTGATTTTTTTTTCTACGTAGAACCCAAGAAAAATTCTTCCATAATATCCTACCTACGTGAAAAAATCATCTTACCTCGTAACTTTTAAAAAAATTTATCATACTTGAGTACTCGATCTATCGATCAACTTTAGTATGGATGCACGAATAACTAAAGAATGGGGAGAAGGGTGGCCAACAAAACTAGCTTGTATGCAAAGACACATAGGTAACAAGGAGAGAAACAATTAATGTTACCAACATATGCGCAGAAACGTAAGTAGTCAAAGGATGAGAGGGGGGCAGTCGACATTAACCGTGAGCGCACGAAGACATAAGTGATTAGGGGAGAAGAGAGAATAGTCGATACTAAACGTGCGAGGTCGAGGGGGCGACAAGGCAAAGGCACGACAGAGGGAGATGACCAACAAGCACAAAATTATTATTTTTTAATTTTTGAAAACAATCTTCTACCAATTTTTTTCAAATTTGGGGCGGGAAAATCCTAGAGGTTTTTCTTTTCAAAAATTCGCCCAAACTATCAAACAACCATATCTGCGGTCAGTTCTTTTTCCTCGTCTTGCACTCTCGGATCCCTCAAGATAAAACGCTACTCCGACCCCCATCATCCGATCGAAGAAAACAAAGCTACCACGATCGCCATGTCATCATCTTCTCTCTCGATCGACGTCGCTACTAGGTCGATAGCCCTGCGAATCCCCACACCCAAGCAACCCGCTTCCGCCCTTCTTCCGATCGGTTGGTATACTCCTGCGTTGTTTCTAGGGTTTCGATCTCGGTTCCTTTTTCCAGGGAGACAAATCTTGACGCGTGTTTCCGGCGACTGGGACAGATTAAGCTTGTACAGCCTTGAAGGCCTCCGCTATATGCGTGGGAGGATTTCGATTGATTTTGCCACATTGGTGAGCTTTCCTAATCCTGATTCCTTGAACTATCCACAACGTGATTTCTTTCTTTTGTGTTATTGACTAAATGTTAGATCAAATAGATATCACGCATGTGTTTACTCATTAGAAAGTATAATCCTGGATATTTGCTGATTCAGTCTCCTGTGGTGAATGGTTGTTATTGATAGCAGGGAAATCTTCTCCTCTAACCTGTATTAATAGTAATCATGTCAATAAACTTTGATCAAGCTTTGTAATCACGTTTCAATTTATCATAGTATCATAGCTTGATCAAGGTTTAAGGTTTATTGACATGATTACTATTTATAGAAGAGAAGATTTCTCTCAACAGATCAACGAGATTTTCTCGGGAAATCTTATCTGCTATAAGTTATAGTTGATGTTACATATGATGTTGTCGATTAGCGTAACTGTGTGCTTAAAAATCTGTAGTACTATGTAACAATTGGACTATACTACTCTCTTAACCACATTTTTGCTGCAACATTTATAGGTAACTACTTGTCCACATTAATATGAGTAAATAGTAGACACCATCTTTGCTGTCATCGTCTTTCAATTAATCGGAGTGACTATTAGCCACATCTGTTTATGTCAGTAACTTCCAGTTTTTAGATTTAGTTTTCTTAAGGCGAAGTGCCAAAGGTATAACATGGTTTTGCGATCAAATCTTGTATGCTGTGGATGACATATAGTCGGATCGTTATGGAAATAATATAGGTTGATTTTTTAGTGAGACTATGGAGAAATTCATGGGAAATTTAGTATAACATGTAAGAATATTGGGAGACAAATAATATAAGGTTGATGTCGAAAATTTTTTATGCTGTTGCCTACTTCTCTACCCATCATTATGAACATATATGAAATAATATATCAATAGATAACATATGCAAGATACATCAAGATGTGTGGATGAAGTAACAGATGATGCTTAATGATATTATATGATTCTTTTACATATTGGTATTTGAGCAGGACCTTCTTGCATAAGCAAATTGCAAAATACTTGATTATGAAGAAGATGCAATCATATGAGATCAAAATTTGGAAGATACGTAAGATGAAGAAAATATGTCATAAATCTAAAATGTTTAAGCTCAGCAAAAAGCATCTGAGAGGAGGCTAAGTTATTACTAGTATGGATTCTACTGGTGTAGGATTACTCATGAATGGTATAGGCAGGTGGGATATTGATATGACTGATGAGGCATCGCTACGAGAGGTGCATTCGAGCACCAAAGGTGGAAATGATATTGGAGATAACATAGATAAACCATGTGTGGTTTATAGGTGGTCTTAGCTAAGAATGGCTGATGCACAACCTTGCATATTCGGCACTTTTTGTTTATGAATATAGTTAGAGCTTTAAGCGCATTAGTTTGTATCGGTGAATCATCATAATTTTGAAAGGACTGTAGGGATATTGGACAAACGCAACTAATATGCTGACTGAATTCTAAAATTTGTATCTGTTTTTGGCTGAACTAAATTATGGAAATGAGTCGACAGGGTGTGATGCGTGTGATGCACCTTTGGGTATAAATAGAATGATTGAGACCAAATTTATATTGAATTTGAGACTAAAATTTACTACTGACTTAAATATCAGTTGTATATGACATTCCATCTCATTTATTGGAATTGTCATAAAGAATGGATGAAGTGATACTTAACTTCTGCTTGTTCGAGATTGTATTGCATGGGTATTGCAATAACATGACTTTTGCTCTCTTCTACTACTATCGGTCTTCAAATGTTTATGTGTACAAGAATTAAGAGGAGTTAACATGGTATCTCCAGCTAATAATCACCTGAACAGGCAGCTCCCAACTATATATATGTCTAAATAAAAAAGATAATTCTCAATAGGTGTTGATAAACAGAATACATAATTATCTGAGGTTATTGTACCTATCCTTTTGGTTGTTGAATATATGTTTATCTTCCTCTACAAGGTCATATGTATCTTCTTTCCTTTCAGGATTGCTGAAACATTAGTATTCTAATTGTCTGATGCATGATATTTAGTACAAACAAGTAATGGAGCAGGTATATCTTTACCAATATGGACACGAGATGCTTGTGGATGTCCTTAGCTTAGTGGTATGCCATCGTCACCAGCTTATTCTGCAATAGTTATAGATTCTTCAATGTTAAATTCAATTGAATATGATTTCAGCGTTTGATGCGATGTTGAGGTTGTTAATGCACAATGCACGTCAAAGTGCTGTTGTTCTTAGTACCACCTTGTTGGAGTGAAAGTCTACCCATGTTTCAGTAAATGGTGATGCGCCTTCTTATCGGCATGGGCGTTGTAAATATGAGGAAGATGTCATAATTCTAGTCAACTAGTGCTTGATGAATAGATAGTTGAAACCGGGCTCACCTGATGTGATGTGTCCATTCATCCACGGACAGGGAAGACGCTTTTGAGTAAAGGAAAAGGACTCTTATGAGTCCTGCAAGTTATATATGGGTTGGGCGTGGGGATGAGCATTCGGATACAAATATTGACGAGATAAGTCTAAAATGTAGAAAGAATCATGCGGATCCCCTGTCGTCTGTGTACGGAATCACACAACTGGGTCCCGCCGCGATCCCCAAATGACATGCGTCATTGGAGGATGTGGCACTCTCCGAGTGGCTCGTCTTTCGCGGACGCCTGTCGTGCCCACCGGTGCGCATGACGTCCAACCTACAAACGAAGACTCCAGAAGAAATTCGGATGAATTGGCAGGCAGCTGGCATCTATCTTATTATAAATTAGGCATATCAGAGGAGCAGCATATACCGAACGACATTCTACCCACGCCTCAACCTTCGTCATGATTGTTCCACAGGTTTCGACGCCCGGGCCCTCATTGCCTCGTCATCACCTACAGTGACGATTCAGGTTGGTGATTCGAATTAGGCGTCATTAAGTAATTGCCATCGATGGCAGCTACCGCCAATTATGCCAGGCACCACCACCCACCTCGTCCTTCCTTCCTCCCCAATTATTGGTGCGGGATCCACCATCCCCCCTCCAATAAAAATCAATACCACTCGGACCAGCGGCGGCCGCAACGGCAACAGCGGCGAAGAAGGAAAAGAGAGAAGAAACATGGGAACCGAGAAGAAGGAGTGCAAGATAGGGAAGAAGACGTGAGGATCAAGTGGACACAGCTTCTTTGCTTCCGGGGAAGAAAAGTTCCACAACGGAGGAGGAGAGGAGCCAAATTTTGATCTCGATCTTGATTGAGAGATGAAGGCCTCTTCACCCAAAGAAGACAAGGAGACACCGCCGGCAGTAGCGGAAGGTGACGCAGAAGAGAAGGAATCCCCAATCTTTGGCGCTGTTGTTGAGTCGGAGAGGTAGCCGTCTGTCCATCCACTCCCATCTCATCTCCATCACTGCCCCCAAATCGGTAGATCGAGAGAGATATAGAGCGAGCAATACATCGCTCCTTTTTGTTTCAAGCCGTCCAAGGTTTCTTTTCCCTTGCTTTTAGATCTCCAGATTCGTTCTTTGTCATGTCGGCGACGGTGATTAGCGTGGCGGACTCTGTAGCGGCGGTGACGGCAGAGGTGGAGTTCGCGGCCTGCGACTGCTGCGGTCTCACTGAGGAGTGCACGCCGGCGTACATCGCCAGGGTCCGGGAGCGGCACGGTGGGCGTTGGATCTGCGGCCTCTGCGCTGAGGCCGTCAAGGACGAGATTTGCCGTTCCGGCCTCCTGCTCTCTCCGGAGGAGGCCGTGGGCCGCCACGCCAGCTTCTGCCGGAGCTTCCGTACGTCGGCCTCGTCCGAACCGTCTGTGGATCCGGCGGAGCGGCTGATTGCCGCCGTCAGGCAGCTCTTCCGACGGAGCCTCGACTCCCCTCGAGCGGTCCGGTCAACCCCGAGTAGCCCCCGGTCCAATGGTGAGGCCGGGTCCCGGGCCGCCCTGGGCCGGACCGGCAGTGGGTTCCCCACACTACTTGGCTGAGAAGCATAGAAGAGAAATCATATGATATAGAATGGCAAGAAGAGAAAAGAAATACAGAGAAAAATGGAGTATGATTTTTCTCATAAAAAGAAAAATCACTGCTCAAACTCCAGGCTTTGATGCATCGTTCTGTATCAGGCAAAATTTCACATCAAGTTCTTGCTACTTGTCATCGGAGTGGTAAGGGAAAAAATCATTGGAAATTGGAAGAAGAATTCCACTTTCTAAATGTTAAAAGAAATTTGAGGATTTTATATGAATACTTAGCATTGATTTCTGACCTGAAACTTATTTCACAGGGATTGAGAAGCCGAAAGTGATCATCTCCTATTCTTCTTTAGATCTTTGGGTTTGCCAAACCATCTCAGTAAGTGTCGTCATGTGTTGTGAGCATGAATCATTGTATTACTGTACTGTTACTCGGTTTGCTTACGACTCTTCAAATTAGCAATGGCTGGAACATCCCACAACACAACATCTAAATTTATCTGTCATTCTGAACTATGTTGTCAATGGTCTCACTGAGATGACATCATAGCTGGGATAAAAATATTAGAGATGAAGTTGGTCAAAAGCAGTGTATTCATTTTGGGTGAGTTGTACTCTAGCACATCTATCTGTCTCATATCAAGCACTCATATCATCACTACAGAAAAGAAATTTAGCTAATAGTCTGCTTTGTCTTTCACTTCTTTCACGATACATACTATGGGACTTCAGGTGAGAGACATTCTTGTGGTTTTGATACATCAGATACAGACAGTTCATCTAAACACTGTTGCCTTTTTATCTGGAGGTGGAGAAACTTTTGATGGCCTTTTACTCTAGATGTTGGTCCACCTAACCTAACCTAACCATATTATACCAACGTATGTCTTCATTAGTGCTCTTGTATATTCGCTCATCATTGCAGATGTTCTCTTGGCAGTAAGGTAATTATGACATATACTCTTTTAAATTCCGTCTCTAAGTTCTCATTGTCCAAGTCTTTAGTCAGCTTCCACTTATCAGTGTCGTCATTCTAATCACAAGAAGACACATCGAGGGTCATAATCTTTTAATTTATGTTTGTTGATTACTTGGTGGCATCTTGATCTTCTAAAATCTCTCGATGTCTTGCTTCGTGATTTATTTGTTATGTATTGTTTCAAAGAACAGACAGAAATCTCTCAATTATCCATGCAATCTCATCTTTGTTGGGATGTCATTTTCTTGTTAGGAAACATGATCTTGAAGGATGTCTCACCTATTTTGGGACCAGCTATGTACTTCCTTTTCCATTGTTAAGCTTTATTTAAGACAATATCTCTAGTTAAATAGAAAACAAAACCGACAGTATTGCAGTTTTGACATGTATCAAGATGTTTGGCTGACAGATCATCCAAGAAAACAAAATTCATGAGCTTTCTTCAACTTATGAGCATCGACTAAATAAAAACAGTGAAAGGCTTGTGGAGAATCCTTTGGCCTAATGTCGGACAACAACAGAGTAGATATGAAGTAGCAAGCTGAAACAGGTGGCATTAAAACATGCACCATATATATATATTTACATATTTGCAGATGCTTCTAATCTTATTATACTAGCAAGATATTAATTTTCTAGAGCATTTAGAATCTTAGCCACTGCTGAGCTACATGATTTGCTGGTGTGTAAACTTATTAAGATAAGCCCGCTTGCTTATCCTTTTTGCCTTGTTAGATAAGTGGTCCAATGGAACACGCATTAGTGGTTCAATTATTTTAGGTTGTGGGTCTTGCACCGAAACTCCTTTGTATGCAAGTTGATTATTTGGACTTTGTGAAACATGAAATCTATTCACATAATGACACGTTGTAAGCAGTTGAAATGAAATCCAGTAAAATTATTTTTTGTTTTTCTCAATTCGTACTCTTCTCACCTTCTTTAATGTTTTTATGATTCCAGTGATAGTGATCGCTTGCGGCAGAGTCGCAATTTATAGTGAATGGGTTTTATTAGATGGTCTTTGACAGAGAAATGGTCCAACTCGTTAAAGTAACTTTTTATCTTAGTTCTCGTGTCACAAAGACGAAGGTCAAGCCTCGTCCATGTGACACTTGAAAGAGTCAAAATGTCCATAGAATGCTCGTCTTCTTCGACGGGAGAAGCTTGTTCTAAAACCAGAAGTGCATCGGTACGTCTTGCCTATCTCAAAGTTAAGGACATCCAAATCTTCCAAGTGGTTGACGAGTCCAATGACGCTAGTCAACGCATCGTTGCATATTGTTTTCTACTTATCAGAAGGGAGTCAAACACTACAACATCATTTTGTTAACATCTGTCTTCAATGCGCACCAACATGTCTTTTTCTTTGTTTTCATATATATATATATATATATATATATATATATACATATATATAGACCTTTTTTTGTCAGGTGATGACTTTGTTATGTGATTTTATACCATCAAACAAGAAGAGCTTGTTATGTTCAAATAACCCATGAAATGAATTCTCCCATGTAAAGAGAGTTGGAAGCCAGCGGCAAACCATTGTGTAAGGCTTCTTTCCACGTGAGAAACATTTCTACATCAGCATCAAAGACTTTGGTCTCCATTTATGTCATATATGAAGAGAATACATTCCGACTCAGCACCAGAGACAAAAACCCAACTTCAAAGCCAACGTTGCTCCCAAAAAACCACGACACTAGGAAAGGTCATCCATGGGTGGCCTCAGATGGAACAATCTAAGCCACTATTTATTACTGGAAGGAACAAAACAAGCCCACAGATCTCAGAAGAACCAATTGCCCCTTGGATTCAACAAGAGCTCATCAAAAAATCCCAACTATTAAACCCAATCCAAAAATGAAAGGACAACAATTTGATGACAAAAGAGGCCCCACAATGATCAAACATCTCCTGCATTATCATTCCCTGCCTTCCACTGGAGCTGAAATCTCTAGTTCCTTGCTTATTGATCCATTTCAGAGCCCTAAGCTTTTTATCTTTGACACTGCCATTAAGAAGAACCACTTCGTACGTTGGTCTTCAGTGTGTGGCAGCCATCTAAGTATCTAGTACTAAGAATCAATCTAACAGAGGTTTAGGAACATTTTCTAGCTCAAAGGTTGGGAGGAAAGCAATAAATCAAGATCGAGTTTTCATTTCATAAAAGTTCATATCCATACCTGCGCTAGAATACATCAGAAAATTCCGTAATGGCACTGAAAACTCGAACATTCATTCAACTAACAGTGACTAATTTTATATACAGTAAAATTGTAGGAAGAAGAAGAGAGTAGGCAAAAGATTCCCCTTTTTTCCCGGGGTGAAGTACCTCAAACAGAGCCGTCTTTGGCTGAAAGCCTCTTCAAAAACTCATAGGTGGTGATCATGGTGGTGGCCGACAGCGACGTGGAAGCCCACCTCGGCCCTAGCCCTCGGTAGCACGCCCTCCAACCCCCCTCCCTTAGAAGGCTCCTCACTGTTCTACCGATCGTCATCCTCTCGCCGCCGTCGTCCAACACCTGCATCCTCGTTTTGATCGTGTCCAGCGGCATCGTCACTACCGCCGCCGCTCCCCCCGACACCGCCGCACTCGCGCCCTGCACCGCCACCACCGTCCCCTGCCCTGGCCTCAACTCCCCGCCGCCACCGCCGTCCATGTGGTAGCGAACGCCACCCCAGATTAGTCTCTGAGAGAGGAAGTAGGACGTCCACCACACAACGTTGGACGGGGCATAAGTGAGGATGGACATCCCGAACCCTCGGTAGAGGCCGCGGAGACCGTCGGAACAGAGGATCTTCTTGAAGGCGTCGACCCCGCCGCGGTACCTGGCGGCTGCGGCCGCCGAACCCTGCACCATCAGGCGTTGGCTGACCACGTCGATGGGGGTCCAGACGACCTGTGCGGCGACGGCCGAGCTGAGCCCGGCGGCGGCGGATGCGGCAGCCGACGCGGTGGGCTCCGGAACGCCGAGCCGGAGCGTGGCGGAGCCGACGGCGCTCTTGGTAGCCTCCAGCGCGCCCATATAGAGAGCCCGAGCCGGGACGGTGCCGGCGAGCGAGGTGGCGAAGCCACGGTAGAATCCCCGGGGACCCTCGTGGCGGAAGATCGCCGCCGCCGCGCGGAGGCACGGAGACGGTGGCTGCGCGACCTGGAGCCGCGTTTTGAGGACCACCGCCGGGTAAAGGGCCGCAGACACGCCGGAGAATAGAGCCGCGCCCATGACGAAGAACCGCCACTTGTCGAGCATCTCCCAATCCACCTCCGCCGGCAAGTGGATCTCCGCCGCTGCCGCTTCTTCTTCCTCCTCAACCCTCCTCGCCGCCATAAAACTCATCTTATACTCTCAACCCCTCCAACTCTCCTCCACCGCCACTGCTAATCCTAATAATAAGAATAATCCTACCCCTAATTACTTTCTTGTGCCCACCGAACTCCTCAGGAAACCAATATATTCACAGGAGGAGGAAGCGAATCATCTCCCGTGTGGAGTACCGGACAGCAGTGTGCCTGACGGGCGATGAAGGCATCTATATCGCGGAGAACTCGGTCCAGTCTCAAGGCTCACGAGCGAGATATAAGAGGCGAGTGTGGTGAAGCAAAGCCAGGCCCCATCAATACCAGCGATCGTTTACACGCTTATACACCCGTCGCCCCACACGGGCGCAAATGGTTTTCGGAAGGACACGTTCCGGTCGGCACGAACCACCGACATGGGGGCCATACCGGCTCGTCATCACATGATCCGTACCACTCTCCACCGGCGTCTTCCGGTGATACCCTTCGAGGGAAAAGCCTAACGTTTGCACGCAGGCGTACCCACCTTTTTGATTGGAACTGTCGCACGGGACCCGCCAACAAATGGCAGGAACCCAGAAACGGTGGGAAAGGTGCTTCTCGTTCCTCGACCACGTGATTCTGGCACCCATAAAGAAACCCAAGTCATGGATTGGCGGTTACCGCGTCAACGAGATAGTACGTGAGGGGGATAAACGAGGGTACGGTATTGGATGCTTCGGAACATTTCGATCGCCCCTGTTTGCTTTAGGATTCGGTGGGCTTGCCTCGTTAAGAGAGAGAGGGAGACGGGCGCCGTTTGACGGTGGGCAGAGTTGATCAGATTGGAAAGGAACCGTTGGATCGGATGGACAAAGGACTAGCCCATAGACTGCAACGCGTCGGACACTGGTAGTATTAGCAGTAGGAATACGACAAAACCTACGCATACTCGCATTGGCACAGTAATGCAAATACAATACGTCATCCTTTAACATATATATATATATATATATATATATATATATATATATATATATATATATATATATATATATAAATTAAATGCTATCGATAGTATGCTTTACAGTGCATATTGTTAGGTGATCTGTTAAAGGTGTAAATAGTAGAAGGGCACGTATTCCCACCCATTAAGAAATGCTGAAGTTGAGAATACGTGCCCGGCTACTCTGTTTTGTTAACACATACAATTCTAAATCAAGAATTACACCAAGTATTTTGATAGTGAATATCTACTCAATTCCCTGTTTAAATTAGAAAATATTAGTGTAGAATTTGGTAATCTAACATGGATACTGATTTTGAGTCGATAGATGTTCATTCCATATCTCTCATAATTAGGTCGAACCTTATTGAATACTAAGAGATTGAATCTGATAAACTCTGAAGAGGTCGAATCATGTAGAACTACATCGGGGGTGTTCCTGACAAATATCCCTCTAATGCTTAAGTTAGTTGTGTTTGGAGGATTCGACTAATGACTTGAACAATATTGATAAAAAGCGTCTAAGATCATACTAAGGAGCTCTTTTATAGTTTGCTATTTGGATCATTAATCTTGTGATCGACGTTGATTACAAGAGATAGTTGCTGAGGGGTTGGTCATGTGTCGATCACATATTGATCATATGTCGACAATTATATGACACTAAGGTGACGACTGTATGACACTGATGTATTATCATTTGGTGATGATATGATAGTCACTTTGTATTGATATAGCATTCACAAAGTATTGAGGTGATAATCATATGTCACTAATTAATTGTATAGTGCTAAATGTGTCATTCTCGGATAACCACGTCTTCTATATCATTTTTCCATAATATGAAACATTTGATATTTCTTGATTCAATTGAGATTTGCCACTCGCTTGATATAATAAGCCTTGTTAACCCTATTTTCTATCGCTTGTTTAAATTTTTTATTATTTTATTTCTATTTGATTCTTTTCTAAATCAACTTTAGAAGACATTAGCTTTGATTGAATTTTACACTTTTTGTCACTTGTTAAACAAAGCTACGTACTAAATCATAGAGATCTCTTCTCTTATCTCACGATAGGTCCCTATTCAACGATCTAATCTTTTTTTATCGATCATCGAGCTTACTTCGTGATATTTGAGATATCCTATTAATTATCATATTTAAGAAATATATATATTTTGATATCTTATATCTAAGATACTTGATTTCAATCTGATATTAATTTTTATATTATAATTTTATTTCTAATAAAATCTCACCGTTTACAAGTGAAGTGGGTTAAACATTCTTGGATGCACTTACGTAGGAGAAGAGAAGATATCAAATAAATATTGCCGTAGTTACTTTACAAATCCACTACCCTTGATTCAACATGTATACACACCAAAATTATACATCGTTAGCAACTTGATAATACCGAGTAAACAAGATTCAAAGTTTATACTCTTCTATATATAAACCATCCAACAATAAACCAATGTTTAAAACATTTCAAAATGGAAAACGAAATATATATCATGCATCGTCACGTACATCATCTTTTGCCGCACGTGCGCTCCCTTCCCCTTGTCCTATCCTTCGCTGCCTCCGGTTAGCCCGCTAATTACCCCGTACCTCCCACCGTAGATCCTCATGGCGGCAATCTCTTTTATTACCAGACTTTAATTGGCTACCCCAAGTAGTTACCGCACTTTAATTGGGCGTCGCAAGGGTTTAATGTGGGACCCGCGTGGGAGACCGTGAATGCCCGAGGCCGTGGCGTAAATCGGGCAAGGTATCGTCCGATTTTTGGAAAGTGCTGATTTTGCTACTCGATTAGCGTACTCGTACGCGTATCTGCTTTCTGGTTTATTTTCGGTGGGATCCGCATGGACCTACATGTCCTCCAATAATAAAACCGGTAGTTTTGGGGGCAGAAGTAATTTTTAGAAGGCTTCTTTTCTCAAGGTGCCATGCCCACCGTTCGATCTCGATCAGACGATCTCGAGCCTACGGGTAACCTTCCTCCGCTCCAAAAATAATGGCACATCGAAGTGCTTTAACATAATTATTAAATCAGGAAAATTCGAAGGGGAATTCTCTTCCCCAGATCGCGATCGATTTGATTTGGGTTCGAAATCTGCCCCCATCTTCTTCTTCTTCTTCTTTCGTCTTTAGGGTTTCTTCTCGGCAGAGCCTTTCTCTCGAGAGGGTTAGGATTAGGGATTTTCTTGAAATTCTCCATCCCAACCCTTTCGTACCTTTCCCCGACCCGATCATTCTCTCTGGTGAAGTCGGATAATTTGATTATCTTTGGTTTGGTGATGGTCTAAAGACCCGGAAGGTTTGGGGGATCGTGCTGCTGGAGATTCGATCTGCTTTGTAGGGAGAAATGGCGAGCGACATGCCTATGAGCGCGGAGCTGGAGCAGATTGATGGCGAAATCCAGGACATCTTCCGCGCTCTCGAGTAAGTTCATCTCTCGCTTCTGCGACCTGGTTGTATGACTGCTTTATAACTACTTATAAAAATCCCATCTTTCCTTATCTGGTCTTTATTGTGTTCTACGAATTAATTTTGGTTGCTGCATGTTCTGACGCGAAAAGCTTATGTTGACAAGGAGGCTTTGGAAGAGATATAGTTGGGGATAATATGATAAGAGCCAAATGGGCAATAAAAATTCAAAGATAATGTTCCGGTTAGGTGTGGCTTATAAAGCGAACATCTAGGGTCATAATGAAATAATAATAAAGGAAAGCAACACTGAGCCTGAAAAGATCACCCATTGCAATGTTGGAACAAAAGATTAATGTGCTAAAGTAGAATTACAATGGGGTACAAAGTGGCCAGAGTAGGAATTTCATGACATAGAAGAAACTTGGTGTTTGGATGCACCAATGATGATTGATGGGGAGGAGATAAATGTTGAATTTTACTTTGCTACGTATGTAAACTTTCTATTTGTAAGAAACTAGTAAATCTTGTGGAGAATGTATATCTTTGTTTTTTCCTTGTGCTTCAATGAAATTGTTCCTCTATTTTTGATCTGGTTGTATCACCATAACATTTATTTATATGTGCTTGAGTAAATTGTCAGCTTTTAAGAAAAGTTTCTTTCTTTCATAATGCAGTTTTAGTCGATGTTAAATGCATGCCTCATGTATTGTGATGTACATTGAAAAATAGGATTTGGACCAAGGTTTGCGATTTCGAATCGTTCTGCCCGTACCGGTCTGCCTGTGAATCGTTATGCGGACCGCCTGCTACCGGGCGGTCCGCTCGATATAGCCCCGTATCAGACGATATAGTGCTATTTCGGGTGGTAATGGCCGGTATCAACCTGGCTGCGGTGAGGCTTAGGGTGAAGCGTCGAAGAAGGAAGAAGGAGAGGGCGCTCGAAAAAGAGGGAGAAGAAGAGGGAGAATCGGGAGAACCTCGGTGTGAATTTGTTTCCACACCCTTTCTCGATCCTGATCCGACGTCGCCCTCCCTCGACGATCCCGATCCAGGAGGCAACGACGAGGAGAGTCGTAAAGAGAAGGATCTGGAGGCGCGGGGATTAGGGGAGGCGATGGCTAGAGCAGCGTAAGAGGTAGTCTCCTTCATCGCCTCGTCTGCGACTCTACAGCCTTCTTCTTCGCTGCGTTCTTCGTCGAAGGCCGAAGACGTCTACGGCCTTTGACGTCTTTGCTGCCTTCTTCGCCGAATGTCGCAGACGAGGCGACAAGGAGAAGAGGAGGAGGCGACATTGTCGAGGCTGCATACGCCTTTTATAAAATATTTTTTATATTATATATATATATACCGCTCAATATGTCATATTGTACCGAGCAAAGCTTGGTACACCAGTACGGTACGAAATTTCAATCCTATATGTATTTGGAATATGATATGGTAAGAGCAAAAGGTATAGTGAAGGTTCGAAGATAATCTTGATATATTTGGTGTGGTATATAAAACGGGCTTCTAAGATCTAACCAAGTAGAGGAGGAGAATTTCAAACCTGAAACCATCACTAGACCATAATGTCGGAATATATGATTGATGTGCCAATTTGAAGTAGAGTTGCAAATGTGTATGAAATGACTGGAGATACTTATTCAATGGCATCATAAGAATTTGGTGTTTTATGCTATAATGGTGATGGCGAGGAATAAACTATCATATTTATAGTATGTACGTTTTTCTAATTAAATGCAAGAAGCTGGTAAATATAGTGGAAAATTGTATGTTGATTGTTATCAACTTGATACGTTCTACTTGTGGTTATAATATAGTTTGTTGGCTATGGTAGCGTTCTCTGGTGGAGGATGACTTGAAAATGTTAATGGTGGAGTACGAGAACTAGGAGAGCTTGGGAGTAAATTTTGTAACTTGCTTAATTTTTATAGAGCTTTCTAAGCCATGTTTGTCTGACACATAATTACGCATGCCATATATCCATGACTTTTTTTTTCATAACTTGGAATGTTTTAGGAGTAGAATTACCTATGCATTTGTCAACATATTACATTTATATTAGGTAGTTTCACCACACATAGTTGTCTGTGATTTCAACAAAGTTGGCAGAATTCAAATTATGTTAGGGAAATATTCAGATAATTATCTGGTTAGTTTGTTAACCCAAATCCTAGGATGCAAACACCAGAATCTACTTGTAAGCTTATATCATACAAATGATTTTTTTAGTTCTTACATATTGGAAAAGATTCATGACTGAGTTGAGAAACTGGTGGAGAATTATCAGTTGATTTGGAGGACAATTTTTTTTACTTACTTGATAGTTGTTGATGTCACTGTGAGAATGCATTAGCAATAGTTTTCATTCTCATCCTTACAGTTTTGTACTTATAACCTTGTGAAGTTTTATATGTTCTCTTTGACAAAAAAATTGTTACATTTGCTTTTTTTCTTCTGCAACTCGATTCACAAGTATCATGCGATCTTCAGTCCATTTTTGTGTTATACGATTCATTTTACTATGGCCTTTGCATAAAACACAGAATCATTGAGTGTGTGATACTCATTCCTCTCAAGTACACGGAAAAATCTTGGAATCACATGTTCTATACATCGTTGAAAACTGACTTTTATCGTTCCCATGTATCTCTGCAGAAATGGATTTCAGAAGCTGGATAAGATTAAAGATTCAAACAGACAGTCTAAGCAGTTGGAGGAGCTCACTGGGAAGATGAGAGAATGTAAGCGGTAGGTCAAGTGACATTTCTTTCAGTCTCATTGTTTCAAGTTTCAACCATTGTATATCTTTTATAATTTGGATACTATAGTAGCTTAACTTATCTGAGCAATTTGTTATACTGACAATTTATACTTCACATGCAACCAGTTCCAAAAATGTGGAATCCCATATGTAATTTAGATTGTTTCAAAAATTGCCTTTTACAGGTTAATTAAAGAGTTTGATCGAGAAATTAAGGATCAGGAGAGTCGGCATGCTCCTGATGTTAATAAACAACTCAATGAGAAGAAGCAGACGATGGTTGGTAACTTTTCATTTGCTCTTTCACATTGTGCCATTCTTTCATTATCTTTTTCTTAGTGAGTCGTCTTTGTCTTATTACAGATCAAGGAGCTGAACTCATATGTAGCCTTGAGAAAAACGTAGGTCTTGGTTAGTTATTCCATTCATCATCTAATTACAGTTGTTACTACATATTAGTAGCCTATTCCACAAATTGATGCATCTTTGAATTATGAATTTATCTCATTTGTTTATATTATTCTCTGGCTGCAAATGCATTCTAACCAAGTTTTTAGCTAGGGCCTGTAATCATGACTTTCTGTTTTCTAAATAAGATGACATCCATTCATGCCTTCCTCTGAGGAACAAACTTTAAAACAAGGAGATTTTTTTTTTGTGTTTCACCAACTACTTTATATTTGAATTCTAAATAGACAATTTGTGCATGTTTTTTTTCCTAGGAACAGTTATTCTCATAATTTTTGATGTACTCATGTGATCATACATACCGTGCCTTGGATCAGACTTGAGGCTGCAGGTTCATGAAGTTGGAGTGGTAGATATTGCTCTATATAGTGCTTCACTAGATTAGTTTGTGCCTTTGTGGATTAGTAGTTGGAACTGTTCAGTGTAGCTTGTTCAAGGAGCAATTTAGGATATGTATTAAATGTAATTCAGTTGTTCGGATGATTATATGTCATATTACAGGAACAAAGCAAGTAGGTCATGTTATAGTCCAGATGCAAGATATAGCCACATCAGGGCTTCATAAGAACAGTCACCTTAACTTACTGTTGTCAGATGAGACAAACATATGAATGCAGCTAGAAGAAGCTTTCATGTCATTTCCAGTTGTAAGTTTGGCCTACAGGAAAACTGATATCTTATGCTATATGTATATGAAGTTTTTTTTGTGACTTTTAATGGTGTTTTAAGAAATATTTTAGTTCTCTATGTGTGAACGTAGCATGAAGAAGGTTTTCCTTGATACCATTCTTGATTAATTTCAATTCCCTAATTATGTGTTCTTTCGCAACATATTATTTTTTCATTTTTTTAGTTATTTGGAAATTTTATTTTATTTATACTTGCTGTTCTATCTGTTTTCTCATAATTGGATCCAACTTGAGATCAGATTTTTTTTTTTCAGTCAGACTTTCTCATTTTAATTTGTGTCCATCAGATATCAAAGTAGCCTTGGCAATAAACGAGTTGAACTCTTTGATATGGGTGCTGGAGGTAATGACCCTGTAGCTGAGGACAATGTTAAGATGGCATCAGGTAATATTTTTGTGGTATTTTTTCACCATTTACTATATCTTGTATTTTAGTTTATCTCTATCGTAAAGACTCATTCATTGGTTTTAGCTACCAAGACATACAAAATGGCCATGATACAATTTAAACTTTTAGTAACCAAATGATTGGAGCACCAGAAAGAAGGGAAACAGGATAAACACCATCAAAGAAATATATGCTAGAGAGCTGTTTGGTGTAGTTAATATCCAGCAGAAGATTACACTGGAAGCAGAAGACTGCAAGAGCTGTGTAGATGTAGTGAGAAAGGCCTTTCAGAAACATCATTTTTTAAAAGGCTTGGCCTTATACATTAATCATCATGACCTTTGAGTTGGTTCCAGTATATTGCAAGGGCTCATTTATATGCTTGCTTCTACAATTATGGCAACATAGTGATGACTGTTTCTCATTGTAATCTGATCTTCAGAAAAGGTCACATCGTCACTTGGAATTAACAACTTGCAATGATCTGTTAACCGGAGAGAATGTAGATTAGATACAAGAATAAAGTGACTTTTTTTTCTTTTGTTGTAAGCATATAGCTCAGTCATCTAGTTTTGTTTTGGTCTTATGGAAAAGGGTGCACTTTTATGTTATTGGGGGAAGAAAATAACTGCTCAAGTGTTTTGCAGAGTAGTGACAGTAAGTCATTGAGCAGAACTGACAAAAAAAAAAAGATGCATAAATGCATTATGGAACAGAAACTTTAAAATTTTATGTATGATCCACATGCTTTAGGTTCGTGAAAATGGAAATTTTAGCATTTTGGAACTGAGTCATACTACAGAAATGGTTGGTTAACATAAGTCTCAGTAATATTGGTCGGTCTACATTGTTGGATGTTAACTAAAACACCAAGCAACTATGGTGGTTGTGGAGAAAGTCCAAAAATGATGCAGGTAAAAGCAGCCATAGGATTATAAAATAAACTTTTCCAATCAGATAAAAATGTGCCAGAAGTCCCACTGACATTAGTTAAGGATTTATTATTTTAGGCTAAAAATAACTTTCATTATAATTTTAGTGTGATAACACTTTTTAAATTTTAATTCTTTAAATCCCTAATATCTGTTGGTACTTCCTTCTTGTTCTATAAAACTTCTGCTATTATCAGTTATAATTACTGTGAATGATACTACATTTATTTTTGTTTATTGACTGCATTGAAACAGCAAAATACACTGTTGTCAGATCCATGTAATGTGAAATCAGATTTGTGCGAGAGGTTTTGATAAGGAACACCTTTTTTCTATTGTACACATCCCATTGAATCTAAGACATGATTAGTCGAATGCTTGTGCATGTTGTTTCAATCAATGAGACTATATTGTAAATTCAGGTCTGATATGCCTGGTTGAAGTATCTAATGCTGGTACATAAGTGTGGCATGGCTCTGCCCAAAATCTACAGTTTGCACTAAAGAGTAGTAAAGTAATTTTCTGTTGGCACTTCTCTGATTTATGGTTTAAAGCAACAGGCTCTTTAATCATCTCTCATTCATTCTTTGAAATTTTACCATACAATTGTCTTTCCTATTAGGTTCTTAGTACTCTGTGATTGTGCAGATATGTCTAATCAAGAGCTTGTAGATGCTGGAAGGAAGCAGATGGATGAGACTGACCAAGCTATTCAACGCTCAAAAATGGTGTGGCATTGACGTGCAAAATTTCTTTGTTATACTTAATGCTTCTTTCACTTCTCAGATTGAACATTGTTATGATAGGTCGTTGAGCAAACTATTGAAGTAGGAACTCAAACTGCTGCAAATCTTAAGCAACAAGTAAGTTGTATATCTGTCTTCCTATTTAAGTGAAAGTTGGTTTCATTTACACAATGCACTAAGGGAAGTCCCTAGAATTAGTTAATGTTTTTGTTATACTTTGGCCTTTACTTTGGCAAACTTTCTACAAAGCTTTTTCAAATATTTAAAATCCGATTTAAGTTGAAATGTATGGAAAGTGGCTAGTCTAATCATTGCAGGTAAATATATTTTATTTAGGTGTTAAGAGTCTTCATTGACTTCATATCGAACAAGGTAGTGGAGCGGTTACTTTGTTTGGAGTTCCATGTAGCAGTCAAGTTTGCTATCTGATCTTCAGATGATGATTTTAACTTTCTTCAAAATCATTACTTTTCAATATAGTCTCAACCAATGTCAATGGTTAAGTTCACCAATCTGGCTTTCCAACAGATTTAACCAATTATTTCTGGTCAAGGTTGGTTAGTTCTGGTTGATTTTGAGTGATTTTGGCCAGTTTCAGGCACCTTCAGTTGGTGCTAATGATTTCATCTAATTTCTATTGAAACTTGCTGAAAACCAAATAGTTTGATTGCATTCCATTCAGGAAATATTATCTTGCATTTTTTCATTCTGTAAGTCTCTTGTCTCTCTTCCCATGCTATGGTATGGAAAACTGCAAGATGTCACTAAGCAATTTGAAATCCCACAAGAATAGGATTTGGAAACCCATACCCGAACCAAACATTTGCATCAGGCAATTGCTCAGTTTGATTCTCATTATATTGATAAAACAATGAATCGAAGCTATTAGAAATTATGGAAATTCCAATAGTCAAAAAGCCACAGGCCCAACCAGGATTAAATCTTTGCATTAGGTAAAACCTATGACTGCTGAAATTGTGTTATGTATGATAAATTTGTTAAAGAAAATGGATTGCTGATGTCAGATTGTCTAACTCTTTTCTGGTAGTCTTTGAGATAATCTTATCCATGAACTCTTTTACTCTTCTCAAGCTTACTTTCTAACTTCTGCTTAGAATCTAACTTGTATAGTCCTTTCTGTTCGATTCATTTATTGAGATCTTAAATGCACTCAAGGTCTTCTAGGATGATGATGTACTTTTCTTATTTAATAGATTGTCACGCCAGGCTTCCGTGCTTTGGATTTAAGCTGCAGAACTAGTGCATTGTGTGCAGCAGGACTTTAAACTTCTCTCTCCATGGTTTTTCAATTAAATATATTTGTCACCTTGCAAATGGAAATCATTTTCATTTATCATGGCTATATTGGTAGAGTTTCATCAGGATCTTAGAAATGTGCTTTTACAGCTTTGGCCAAAGTAAGTTGCCTTGTTATGTCTTGGATTCTTTAACATTCTAGGTGCATTTGGTCAAAAGCTGGAAAACAGATTAGTAAATGATGTCTCAAGTTTTACAGCATGTAGTTATTGTCTAATTATGCAGACTGATCAAATGGGTCGGATTGTCAATGAGCTGGATACTATTCAATTTTCTATCAAGAAGGCTACTCAGCTGGTGAAAGAGATTGGTCGGCAGGTTATTCCATAGTCATAACACCACCATTTCTTTGTTCAAAATTTCCAGTATATCTTCTAATAAAAATATTCTGAAAGCCAAAACTTTTTTTTTCAGGTTGCCACTGACAAGTGCATCATGTTTTTCCTATTTCTGATTGTTTGTGGTGTAATTGCAATCATCATTGTGAAGGTACTCCCTCTTTTCTTTGTTTGGTCTAGTGGTTGTCATGATTTTTCTGGTTCAATTTTTGTCAATCTGGAGCTTCATTTATCTAGTTCAAAGATTATTATGATCTTAGATAATAAATTTTACTACATGAAAACTTACCATTCAGTACCAAGAGAGAGTTTCAACTGAAAACCAAACAAGTCTGTGTAGTATATAACATGTAAGATTGTGCACACTGCCAATTTGCTAGTGCAATGTTTCAGCGGATTTACTCAGAAAGGATCTTCATCCATGATTTCAAACATCGGTTGATTATCTCTAAATTTTAAATGCTTTGGTCAAGGAGCTAAGCTGATCTTTAATGGCTGTCGTGCAAGACACCTAATTCTTTCATAAGGTGAAGTAATTTCAACACCGTGGCTTATTGTAAAATTTTAGAACCCGCAAACTCAGACAAGAATCACAAACCCTTGCTTAGAGGTCCATTATTTATCATGGCTAGTTCTGGTGCTCCACTTTATGCACTAGAAGGAATTTCTAACTACCGTTCTTGTGTTTATGTATGTGAACCTGTAGGTTGTGAACCCAAATAATAAGAACATCAGAGATATACCTGGCCTGGCACCACCTGCTCCCACTGCAAGGAGATTGCTGTCAGCAGAAGCCTTTGGGAGTTTAGGATAACTTTGACATTTGAGGAAGAACCCGAGCCCACTTGTCTACTTTCTCTTTCCGACTAAGTTGAAAGAAGTTGTCAGAAGATGCAAATCTCCAAGAATCGAATCTGATGATCCATCATGTATCTGTAAGATTTTTGTATATGATTTCATTCCCTGTTTGTTTGTTTGGTGTACTCCTGAAGACCTTAGATGTTAGAATCCATGTGTTTGGATTCACAGCATGTTACACACTCTCGTCACAGTGTATGATGTGCGCTCTTTTGTTGTATCATTTTCCCCCAATATCGGAATTCCATCGTTCATTCTCTCAGACCGCAGCATGTTTAAGTTTTTCAACTATTGGTTTTGGCATTGTGTTAGGAGTAATTAATGTTATTTCTTTCATTCTAGTGTTTATCTTGTAATCTGGCTCGACGTCTTAAATCTAGTTGATTCCAAGCATGACTTGGGAGGAGGAAAGAAAATAAAAAGAAAAAAGGTGAAAAATCTGAAAAGAAAAAAGAAAAAGGTATCTTTATGTTGTGCATGGAAATATTTTGATGGATTGTCCAGAGCATCATGTTCCAAGACAAAATGGAGGACCCAATTAGAATATGTCATCATGGGTCCAACTTATAAACTGCAACACACACAGGTATTATATCTCTTGGACAAAACACAGATTATAATTGCCAATATTACTGCAAATTTTGTCCAGTAGAAAAGAAAAAACCCGATGCATTTTAGGACCTCTTTGAAACTTGGGACCATCTTAGGCGTAATTATGTAATTAGCTTAACGAGGGAAGGATGTTGCTTCCAAAATTTTGCTTGCTCTGTCTTGATGTTCTTAAGGTCAACATCGACAGCCATGAACAGTTTCTGAAGAGGTTCACCATTTACGTGTATTCTGCAGCCTTGATTAAGACATCCATGATTTTGGTGTATAAACAATAGTTGATCGACTACAAAAAGATACTTTTGCAGAATTTCTTATATAACTATGAGAATTGACCAAAACTGTTAATTAGAAAAGAAGCCTTCTTCTAACATTTTAGGATCGCACTACGACTAATGGCTGCTCAACGATATCTAAATGGAACGAGTGATGGAACCAAAAATTGCAATCTTAAGCTGCCAAAAAGGATGAATAATGTGCAAGAATCTGATAAGTTTGAATTGCATTAACCCAGAAAGCACAAAAGCAGACTAAAGAGTGCGGTGCAGTGCAGTCAATGATAATACAATAAAATGATACTAATATCTAAAATGTTAACTGGGGAAATTAATGTACAGTTACACTAAATAGTCAGTGCTAGAGACTGACTGATGAACACAAGTATTCAAGGGCAGGCTTAAATAACTATGATTACAGAGGAGATACAGACAATACTAGAGAATTAGCATTTAGATGCTAGAGAAGTAAATACACAGACAGGATAAGGGAGAGACAAGTAGCCATTCCAAGAGTTGATAGTTCCAACTTCATTGTGTGTTGCTGCATATACCTCGGACAAGTTTATACGGTGTTGCTGATAATTTTATATGTTGTGTATGTTCATTAGCTCGGGAAGACCATTTGAGTTGAAATTATGGTGTACCCAACCAGCAAAATTTATTCACTATAGAACAGAAGAGTCTAATACAGGAAAAAAACCTTTGAGTCGTATTTGTGCTTCAACTCGAATGGAACTATAGATTGACCATAAGAGCGAGCGAGCGAGAGAGCGAGTGATTCAGAGTACTTATAATAGAGGACATGTTGTGGAGACAAATTGGTGACAACTCCAGTTTCTCTTAGTTACTACAGGCTTCCATACGTGCTTCCATTCTCTTTATCCAAGTCCACGCTTCTTCCACTGCAGTGCGATGCATCGGTCGTCGTCCTAGGTCTTGGGTGGTGCCGCCATCCACGGCTCCGTAGTAGGTGGAGCTACCGTCGTCGCCGCTGTAGGTGTGTCCTCGGCTGCGAGCTCGAGGTCGTCAAGAAATCCAAAAATATCATCGAATGTAGACGTTTCTGGCACCGCAGGGAGACCCTCGTGAATATATCTGCCAAAGACATCTGCCGTCGCCATCCACGGCACTACTTTCATAGCTCCGGTGCTAACGTCAATTGCCATGCTGTGTGTGTAAGGTTCCGCCATCCATGGCTCCGGCGTTTCTTGGCTATCTGCCATAGGCAGGGCCTTGGCTGGGAGGCTGCCGCCGTGGCTGCTCTTGTTTGCGGCTCCCCTCCGCTTGTCCTGTTAGATTATGTGGTCCTATTTAATTAGGTAAGATATATTATAGATATTATTGGATTCTAATTATAGTTATTGGCCAATAGAAAAGAAGTCCATATTAAAGTCGGATTCTTTAGGAGATAACCTTGATGGAAGGAACTCTCCTAATAACTTATCCTAAACCTTCTGCTCTCGCCTATAAATAGACAGGACCTCTAGGGGCTAAAGAGATCATTTGTGCGCATCTGATAGATAGGACCTCTAGGGGTCAAGTGCGCATCTGAGTAGCATCTCAGCAATTGAGAGATTAAGGTTTTTCTCTCAATCTCCCTCTCCTTTAATCCCCTAATCGACGTGCGGCGCTGCCGCCGCTTTCGCGCGGTCGTTGCGACGTGCGGCGCTACCGTCGCTTTCGCTCGGCCGTTGCAACGTGCGGCGCTGCCGTTGCGACGCTGCCGCTGCTCGTGCACGGCTGGCCGCGGCTGTTGCCAGCACGCGGCCGCTGCCACCGCGGGGAGCTGCCT